CTCTCTCTCTCTCTCTCTCTCTCTCTCTCTCTCTCTCTCTCTCTCTCTCTCTCTCTCTACCTTCGCCTGACCTCTTCCCTTGCTCCGTGCCCCACCCAACCTCTGCCCTCCCTACTCCTATTTGCCCTCCCTACGCCCGACTTCACCCTGTCGTCTTTCCCCTTCCTCCCAACCTCCTTCCACTTCCTCCTCTTCCTCTCCACGCTTTTTCCCATGCTCGTCTCCCCCTTACCTCTTCCCTTCCTCCATATGTCATTCAACCTCTAAACTACGTTCTGCTTCCTGTCCTCCCTTCGCGCTATTTGCCCTCCCTGCGCCCAACTTCACCCTGCCGTCTTTCCCCTTCCTCCCAGCCTCCTTCCACTTCCTCCTCTTCCTCTTCACGCTTTTTCCCTTGCTCGTCTCCCCCTTACGTCCTTTCTTCCTCCATACGTCACTCAACCTCTAAACTACGTTCTGCTTTCTGTCCTCCCTTCGCCCTAGTTCTCCCTGCCGCCTCCCTTTTCTCCCGGCCTCCTCTGGACCTTCTCTTAAACTTCCGTCTGTCCTCGCTCGCCTGGCCACCTGACTCCCCTTCCCTCGCCCAATCTCCGCCTGACCTCCTTCCCTCTATCTCCTCCGTCCTACTCCTTCCTCCGCCCGATTTGCACTGACCTCCCCCTTCACCCATACTCCTTCCTTCCCTTCCTTCCTTGGCCCGATCTCCGTCTGACCTCCTGCTTCCACCCTACTCTCTGTCGCCATTCCCCTGCCTACTGGCCTCCTCCACACCCTACTCTCTTCAACCTCCCTCTGAGCCCCGTCCGCCTGGCCGCCTCATTCCCCTCCGCTCGCTCCCTTCGTCCGCCTGATCTTTGTCTGACCTTCTCCTTTCCTCGATCTCCTCCCTCCCCTTCCTTCCTCAACCCGATCACCACCTGACCTCCTTCCATTCCTCCCTCCGTCCTACTCCCTACCTCCCCCTTCCTCCCTCGACCGGCCGCCCTTCCTTCGTAACGCCCGGCGTAAGACATACTTCTTTTCCTTTATCCGGTGAACGTAAACTCGCCATTTGTTATCAAGATCGCTCCATTTCTTTTAAGATCTCAACACTGTTGCACACGCGCAAGAAGGAGAGAGGGAAAGCGGGAGAGATGAAAATGCATTTCACCCAACACACTTCCTTCCTCGCACCTTCTTTGTCCTTGTCTCTGTCTCTTCCACCACCACGTCTTCTGCCTCCTCAACATTCTCCCTCAGTCTTTTCTTTTTGGAGCGGCCTTAATAATTAACTGCCGTGCGCCAGGTATTTCAGGCTATCGAAATTTCTTTCCATATTTCACTCTCTTCCTCCCCAATCCCTACACACACCACACTGAGTCAGCTCTCTCTCTCTCTCTCTCTCTCTCTCTCTCTCTCTCTCTCTC